TTGTTTGCAATGGATACTTCTCCATTGTATTGCGATATATACCCTATGGATTCAGCTAATAATACTAGGATTATAACATTATTATTCTAATATATTTGCAAATGATGCCATCTAATAAGATAGTCGTTTCTATGATATCTGTGACTCGGAAACCACAGTTGAAAAAAAAAAAACATCAAAAGAGGAACCATGATTGAAGTTTCAAATGTGCAGGCTTGTACTGTGAAATGTAATATTATTGTTACTTCAACAGCAATTGTGAGTAAAAGGTGGGGAATTGATTAAGAATTGAGTAAAGCTATACCTATCCTTTAAGGTGCTTTGTTAACTAGAACATGAGGTCACCAAGGGTAAGAACAGCCCCCTCTAGCTATGTCAGCATAATTTACTATTTAGTAAATAAGAAAGCATTCAATTGTACTGTATTTAACTTCAGACTATAGAGTAATGTGCTTCAACACGCCACAGAAATACTTGCTGAACTGGTTCCTTTTCTACCTCGTTCTCTTCTGCTTTCTTGATCGCTGTCAAGTATCTTCTATAAACTGCCTGATTGAACAAATTATTTATCTTTTTATTTTCATATGTTTGCAAACATTTTTAGACAAATAAAGGAAAAGTCTGGTATGTTTTAAGTGCGCAAATATTATAAGTCATTATTGCTGTGTTTGCCTGCTCCGCTTACCTGAAGGTACCTGGATGACAGACCTTTACTAATTGCCGTCCAGTGATGGGGTCCCCTCAGGTCCCAACATTACCGCAAGGGAACTAGTCGGCACAAGCACTGACTGCAGTGCAGGTTCACCAGTCCCCACCCCTAGAAATGCAACTTTGCCTGGAGTTGAGCTTTAAAAGGGGTACTTACTAAAAATATATCAGTTTCCCTTTAATTTTTTCAAAGCTGGAGGAAAAAAGCTTTTGAGAAGAGGAGAAAAAGTTTGTTGAATTAATTAAATCGCTGACATAGTCCATTAAAGCTACTTGTCATCATGATAAATACAGTGCTCTATTTAGTTATATGTAAACAGTATCCAAAAACCCCCCCCCAGCATTTATGATAATATTTCTAGAAAGACATATCTATTGTTTTCTGTATGAACAGTACAAATAGCGTCAGCTAGTTTTCCTTTTTAATGAATTGCTATAGTTTATTTTCCTATTGCACAGTTTATTCATCTAATGATTCTATTGTCTTGGTTTATAAACAATATTAAATCAGCTCGCTATACATTTGTCACCAGACAGGAGTGTCTGCTTGTTGCCGCACCCTCGCTTTTGTTGCTGTTTCATGAATAAGAATTGCTAAATAGATTCTTTTTGTGTTATGCAGTGAAATACAGGAACATGAGGTTGGAAATGCTAAAGAAGGGATCCCCATAATGCCCAGCACCCTCTTTACAAAGTGTCAGCTTTTTCTTTTAGCGGGGGGGGGGTGCCATTGTGGGCCTGTGCAATGGGTCAAGGGTAGGCCCTTATCCAGAGCAGACAGAATAATTTTTGATGACTTTTACATATTTTTATACGCTTGCTGTTCCACATTTTTTTTTTTTACTGCATTAAACAGAAATGTGTAGGTAAGCCACTAGTGGGCTTTCTGTATTTTACTACAATCTCTCCAGCTCCCCTCTTCCTGTGATATCATCCACAAAAAGAGCCCACTGTTTTCAGTGAGTCAGCAGACCCCCTAAGCTCTAACTGTAAAGCTGGCCATACACCAGTAGAATTTAATCTGAAAATTTGTTTTCAGAATGTCCGATTATCTATTGGTTAGTAGGGTCTAATTGGCGGTCAGATTTGACCGCAATGACGAGGAAAAACAAGCTCAGCTCGTGGTATACGGAGACCGCCGCAGCAGGGACGGATCCCAACATTACTGTTGAGATCCACCCAGCTGCGTGAGTGACAGCTGGCTCTGCCTATCTAGAGGCAGAGCCAGCTGTACCCGCCCCCGTCCGTTCCGCCAGTCAGCGCTGGAGGAGCGGCCTGGGGAGGGGGGGAATCCCTGCAGGGAGCCGTGAGTGACAGCCCCACGGCTCTCTGCAGGGACAGGATTGAGAAGTGAACGAGTGACGGTATGTGTCTGCTCACTTCCCGATCTATTGAGCCGACATGTGACAGTTTCATTGTCACACGTCGGCTCGAACTATGAGGCTGAGAGATTTTCAATCATCTCATAGTTCTCTAAGTTTCATAATGTTCCATTACTGTTGGTTTTTAAATACATAGCTAAATATTTTACATCTAGGGGTTTATATAACAGCATGTGAAAGAACAAGGATAAACAGAAACCCTTAGAAACTAATCCGATTTCATCAGTAGAGAGCAGTGGGAGCAATAAAAGATTATTTTATTTAGAATTTGGTGCTTTTGTCTCCTGGATGTTGTACATCCTGTTTCGTACTGGTATATAAATGCCTATGGGCATACAGTATATCAGTGACGTGCAGCAACCCATAGCCACCAAATCAGCAATTATGCTTTCATTTCACTGCTGTAAACTGACAAAAAGGGTGGAGGGATTAATGGTTGTGGATTTCTTATAATTACGGCTTCTATTGGACAAAGGGTTGATAAAATCAGGAGAGTCCAATTCAGCACTTCCTGAATTTTTTTACATATAGATCTGTGGATAATTTTGCAGTTTAGGAAACCAGGCAAATGTGAAAAAATAAAAAATGCGAAAATTAAAGAGACAAAATGCAGTAGAAAAACAAGTATTTAAAATGCTTACCTGCGGTGTTTTTTTTTTTCCATTAAATATTTATTCCTTTGCAGTATGCCATTGAACTTAATAGAAAACTTGACTACTAGGAAGAGTCAGTTCCCTAGGACAGCTCCCTCCCTCCTTGCATGTCATAGCCTCCCAGAAAATAATTTTGATTGCAAATGAATAAAAAATGAAATCTGGAAGTTTGGAATAATGGTGCGCTGGCACCTCCCTCCATAACTTTTTTTGTAGCAAATGGGGTAGTAGTAAGGGGATATAATAGAGGGTCAATTGAGTGACAGCTCTGGGTCTACTAGGGTTGCTGACATCATAACCAAGATGGCGGTGCTCAACAGCAGTCTCCAGGCTTTTGGATGGGTTTTCAATTCTATAAAATGTTTACTGATGTCAGCAACCCCAGTAGACTCAGAGCAGGTACAAGTTTACAGGTAAATAACATGTATAATGTGTTAAATGCACATATAAAGTGTTAGGAAGATTTTTGTTACTAGTTTTTTATTTGATTATTGGCTTGGATTTGTTACTAGCACACTAATATCTATTGCGGATCTGTATTACTCACATTTGGGGGAAGCACACTGGTTGGTGCTGGAGCCCTGCAGTGCTGGAATCATGTACGGTATTACAAATCGCTCGATCGCTTGAGTGTGTTAAGCTCCCGGCCTGCCGTGTAATTACAACGGCCGGCCAGAAAGCTGCTCGTCGGGCTCCACCGTCCACTCGTCACAGACGAGTGGACGAGTGGATTTTTCGAGCCCTGTATATAATGTATGTATATTGTGTGTGGGGGCAGATAAGCACAGGTGCTATTGTATATGCTAGCAAGGAAACATTTCATGATATGTGTGTAACCCCAAGTGAAAAGGCTGTGGCATCGCATTACTCCGGCACCGAGATAAGTGATATGCTAGCTGTATGATTACAGATAATAGCTGCAGGGAAATAAGCAAGGCTCTTCCTTGGCTTTGATTACCCATAATGTTAACCAACAAAAGCAGTAACTATAAAGTTAGAAGATCAAATAAGCTGGGGCCTGGCATTCAGCTGCTAGGCCAAATCCAGTGTCAGTCTGCTGACATGAGAATTGATTTAGCAATTAATAAACTTACCTGGTGGCCTTCTTGAGTCTTACTAGGAAGGGATTCCTGGCTAAGGACTTTGTTCTCAGTCTTTAATATTTTAATGAGCCCGCAGGCTTAGCTGCGTACAAATGAGTAGGGATTTCTAAGTGCAATGTTTAATGTTTCAGCTCCGCAAAGGATGTTGATTAGAATGCTCTTGTTTCTATTTCCCACAGGCATTCTGCCGCAAGCAATATATGTACAGAAAGGCTAAGCTATATTTGGGGATGATGCTGTATTGCTTGATGGGGCCTGCGGTTTCATTTGTGTAGCCAAGACCTGCTTGTTGTGTAATGTTAACATTGTACGGCTTTTAGAAGATTACTGATTTTCAAGTGGAGTTTTTACTCCGAAAAAATAACCTGCTCTGATGTAGTATTTCAGCTTCTATTATGTTTTTGGATTTGCTTTATTTATGCTAGCTTAACGATTTGGACATACCAAAAACATGTTAAGTTGTGGCAGTCTTTTTTTTTTTTTTTCTTGGTCAGTATTGGATGCTTTGCAGACTCCTGCTTCCCTTGCAGTGCTCTTGAGTCATATACAATTTTGCTGATAATGCCAATCCATGCGTTAAGGAGATGATTTTACAGTTTTTAAATAGATACATGAACTCATTCTCAGCCTGCTTATAAACAGAGCTGTGAAGGTGACGAATGTTGAACGCATGACTTTTGATCTTTAAAAATAAAAGCTCTTTTGCTGACCTGTAAATACAAAACTCTTTTAACTTGGATATTTAAGGCCTGTGATAAAGCTTAGTTAATATTGCCAGAAATGTTTTAAGTTTTCTTTTTTTATTTATAGTTATTTTAATTCAGATTGCTTATAGCCAAATCAACTAAAGCCCAGAAGCACGACTGAAATTATTATTATTTCTACTAGTGCTTCTATTGTTATCAACATTAATAATTATAAACAGTCTTGGATTCATTTCATAGACAATGCTGGCTCTACCTTCATTGGTCCACTTACACCTAAGAGCACTTACTTTTGAATTAAGACTCACCCATCTGAATTACTGGTGTGTGGGATTGTCCTAAGGAATCTAGAACTATTATCAATTCTTCATGATTCTATTATAATGTATCAAATTATATAATAGTATTCTGTCTTCTCACAATTATTTTCCCCTATTTTTTTTTATTTAGATTCCTTCCTGGTCAAGGGATGATACTGTATCCACAAATAGGAGATAAACTGGATATAATTTGCCCAAAAGTGGACTCCAAATCTACTGTCCAATATGAGTATTATAAAGTCTACTTAGTGGATAAGGAACAAGCTGATAGCTGCACAATAAAAGACAAAACACCTTTGCTGAACTGTGCTAAGCCAGACCAAGATGTAAAGTTTACCATCAAGTTTCAGGAGTTCAGTCCGAATCTCTGGGGACTGGAATTCCAGAAGAACAAGGACTACTACATTATATGTAAGTATGCCTCATTTTATTTATAACACATGTCAATCCTACTTTATGAAAGGATGCCTTGTATAGAATAAAATGTATGTTTTACTTCTGCAATGTCCTCTAATGTCTATTGGATACCTGATCTGAGACGGACAATATATCGGTATATATCAGCCTAATCCCCCTTTTTAAAAGTCAGAAGTGTTTTCATATTGAAAATAGATTAACCTTGGGGTCCCAATGCAGGCTGAAGTGAAGTGAATACCATGTAATACTATGAAATATACATTATGTCCCCAGCTTTTTAGCTGCATTAAATGGGTTTGCAGTCCGAGAGCTGATCAAAGCTTATGGAGCAAGAGACACACTTTCATTACCTCAGACCTCAAAGCCCAGTTGCTCCGCTTTTTTCAAAAAGTACTGCCCAGACTATCATGAAATATAATCATTTTTCGGCTTCCTAACATCTTTTATGACCTGTGAAGTGGGTAAAGGAGTGCCTCGGGAAACATTCAACTGAAAAACCTCCAGCTTGCATGCAGACCTCATTAGTTCAGCTTACACTGAGATGATCATTTATTCTGACATGCACACACTCAAATAAGGAGGTTTTCCTAAATGTTCTGTCCAGTCTTTCTTTATTCCCTTTGAGTTTTCATCTAACTCTCTTAATTAATTGCCCTCTTGCCTCAGTGCAAACAATCTAATTCCCTATCCAGTCGCATGAATTGACCTAGCGTGGAATGCAGTTAGCTTGGATACGTTTTAGTCATACAAAATTACTAGAGAGATTAATTGTATAATCCTTTTTGGAGTCTTATTAAATCTAAAATGGCACTGTTCTACAGAATTCCAAAAAGTCCCCAAACAAGGATTGAACTGAAATAACTGAAAACCCCATAGCCCATTCCTGATTAGGCAGCACCAAAGACATGGAGCACAGTTTTAAGGTGCTACTGTCTGCCAGTGTTTGGCAGGAAGGGCTTGGGGTATTTAAAGTACTGCACTATATAGAAATATGAAATAGCATCAGCCCATACAATATAAAGGTGCCGGAATATGAGCAGATCAGGCCATCAAATATACAGAATTTTGTATGGCTCGTACTCTTAAAAAAGAGCTTTCTTGGAAGATAATCTGCTAATGTACTTGCAACCTAAAAACTAAATAAAGCCCAAACTTTTGTGATGCAGCAATGAATGACAAGAAGCCCTGTCTGGTTCTTTTTTGCAGTCTATCCTATTTGGGAGATTTCCCTTCTTTCTATCCCGGAAATAAAACATGAGAAAAAAATCTATCCAGATTGAGGGAAATCTCTCTTAGTTGTCACAGAAACAGGTGTTCCAATTTGAGGAAATCCCACTATTTATGTTCTGGATGCAACCATAATACTTTGGATTTCCTATCATCTTCTTTCTCGGTGTCAATAACAAAATAGAACAAATTGACAGACTAAAATTGAGACCTGTTCCAGTGGTTCCCCACTCTATCTGAAACAAAGTTTTGGCTGTAGTTAGACATTAAGGTTTCTAGTAAGCCACGACTTTAAGACAGGATGGACCCTACCATTTCTATTTGTTCTTCTTTACAACTACCATTTTTTATGTGTGTAATAATACAAGTACCTAATCTTGTGTTGGCATGAGCTCCACTAGTAAATGTAAAAGTACGTAAAGCTAATTACTTGCACAAAGAAACTTTTATTTCTATCGGGCAATTACAGCCACCATACCTTGACAACACTTGAGATATTTTGAACTGAATTGTATTTTTGCTATGTAGTCGATTGCAATATTTTTACATTAAGAGCCCTTACATGCTGGGGACAGGATGGTAGTTTATTTCAATGGGAATATAAAATCATCACTGGAAATGCTGAAAAGAAAAAATACGTTTCTGTACTAGTGAAAAGCTATTATGCCAACGCTCCTTTATTTTTATGATTCTTTTCATAGCAGCTCTCCAGTTCTGCAGCATTTTAGGCCAGTTCTCTATGCCTGCTTTAAAAGTTCCAGGTCTCCAAAACAATGCCTTAAGTGCAAACACAGAATGGAAGCTTCTGCAGCTAGTCACAGGTGAAAATGATCGCTGTTGAGAAAAAGCAGCTCTTAGAATGTACACAATTGTGCCTATTCTTGTTAGTGTTCCCTCGAAAAAAATGACATATAATTTACAGCTATTGATAGCTTAAGTGGAAATCCACCATGAACACTTGAAATGTTGATAATGAAGATATGAAAGTGAAACTTGTGACCAAAGAAATGTGACTAAGCACATGAATCTTATTATGTTTACCCTTTTGTTGGGTATTTACAGTAATGACATTCTTTACCGTGATCAGTCGTTGTCCTAGTTCAGCTGCTGCTATGTAAATTTAGCAAAAAGAGTTCTAAAAGGTGTGAACAGCTGCGACAGATGTCTGAATGTGCAATCTATTGCAAGAACGCTCAGGTACATTCAGTGATAGAATTATCAAATATAGACAGGAACACAACCATATTAAACTAGACAGTATTGAAACATAATAACAAAGTTCTGAGGCTCTATAAAGGTTGGTTGAGAGCATTGATGTTCTTCTCCAGTATTATGGCATTCTATCAAGTTTGGAATAATTTATTGGCTTATTCATTTAAACAGATAATATATTGTTGATGGAATTGCTGGTTCTAATTGATTGAGCAGGGGCTTGGGTGTGGAGTAACGAGAATGTGTATGCAGTGGCTGCCTTGCAAGTAATGCAATTTGAAGACAAAAATTGCATATATTGTTTTCAGCCTAGGATAAATGTGGCAGAAGGGGCAGGAGACAAACAGGATTAGCTGAGGTTGGGTAATAGTTGTTTTTTCTTTTAAAATAATTTTATGGTAACACATAATTAGTGCAGTATTTTTACAAGTAGTTAGATTAAACCATTACATTTTACTGTATCCAGACATAGCTTAGTGGAACTGCAGCCACTTGGGGCCTGTCACCCCACTGGTGAGATTTCCCTCACTTCCTGGCAGGACCTCACGTCCTGGTGGCAACCACTCCCCTCATTTTATCTTTTGTCACAGGGACAGGAAGTGAGGTGAAATCCCCCCAACAGGGTTATGAACAGTATTATTAACTTGATTTAAGTATTTAATCTTCCTGAGTGTCTCCAAAATTAAATTAAAATGTGCTGACTTTAATTATTTAGGATGGAGTTTTAGATTTTTTTTTAGCAGATTGTTTTGGGGATTTCCCTTAATTCAAGTCCCAGACTTCTCTTACTTCCTTCTTGTTGGTGTTAGCTGTGCCCCCAGTTTCTTCCTTGTCTATGTACTCATGTGGACTATATTCATGAGGTTATTATTGACACTAGGTTCAGGTAAATTCTCCAGGAATATATGGAAAATACGCTTAATAGCAGTGCCATGTTGTGACTGAAAGTAAGGTGAAATCTCCCGAGGTGGGACACCGACAGCTATGAAATGCTGATAGAAGGTCTGTTCCCCACTCCGTCCAAACTTAAAAAAAAAAAAAATTGCTGAAGTTTCACCTGAAAGTAGCACCTCTCAGAAAACACACTGCAATACAGTTTCTAATTTTTACTTAATCTAATAGACCTCCATTCCTTTTCAACCCAGACCTATTTTGTATTTATCTGTAATCCACATTCACTGCTGCTTTGATGTAAAAATCAAGTTATTTTTCATTAGTCAAAGCATGTAGAAAATTGCTTTAGATTGTCTATTGAATGAAACGGCTCCCCTCCAATGAACTGAGTTCATTGGGAGGGCAACAGTGCCATTTATTGGTCTTACCACTAGGTTGTCCTCTGTCAAATTATATGGCGTCGCATCCTTTGGAGCTATTATACAATGAGAATTAAGGTTTTTTTTTTAGTTCATAGTGTTATATTCCAAACTGTCAGTTGGCATTAACTCAGCGAGTGGCGAAATCTCACCACCAAGAGATGAACTCTGCCTCCAAATGATGTTTTCCACTTCAGTGCCACTTGTAACGCAATTACTAGGTCATTAATATCATTGCATGCAATTAGTGCCAGCAGAGTGTATGTGTGTGTGTGTGTGTCTTCCTATACCAGCACCCTTTGTTAGACAGTGAATTTGGCTGATCATTTCGCACTAATCCGTGGACAGCTTGTTTACACCAAAATATTTTAGTTATTTTATTACAGTAATTGCACTGTGGGGAAGTCTATCATGGGAGAGCATGGCTTAATTTATGTAGCCCATTGACCCCCACATATTATGGTATATGTCATTTGGAAGTCATAAACCCCTTTCACCATTTTCGAAGCTCTTTACACCTTTTGTGCCTTCCATTTGTTGTCCATTTCATTCACAGTCCTCTGCATTTTCCTCTTCTGCAAATTACTGTTAATTGCTCCTTTTATCATTAGTCCCATCATTTTAACAGAAGCCCTCCAGTCTCACTCTAGAAAGGCCAAGAACATAAAAGTAAATATAAATTCTAATTTAGTGCAGCCGATATTGTTCGGAATGCCCTACGGAGCTTGAAAGGTTCAAGTTAGACAGCAAATTAGTGCATAGTTGGGCAATAAAAATAATATTTCAGCACTGATTTAGTTGGGCTTGAAGGAATGCACTATAAAGTCTAGATTTTAAGCAATTAAAATTGTTATTTATTTATTTCTTTATTCTAATCGGGTTGCCTCTTGAACTGTTAGGTGCTTTGCCTTCTCCGGTTTGCTTTTAAAGAGCTTTTAAATCAACATTACAACTTGGGTTACATAAAAGAACAACTAATGACAGCTACAGATTTATATGTAAATGTTTCAGGATATAATCAACAGAAATACGTTTAAAAAAAATGGTCTTTGAGTGGAGAGACTTCTTCATACACAAAGCTTATTTTCTTAGGCTAGCAATACACAAGTAGATTTTAATTCGGTTGATTCCCCCATCCACAGTGCTGAACTGTTGGTTCTTGAATTCCACAGTTGCCTTAATATCTGAATATGTATCTGAAAAGATTACATTTAAAATCTTCTTTTAGAAAGCTGAGTGGTG